GAAGCTGAAATAGAGCGATTTTCGAAGAAATATGACGCAGCGCTCTTTGTGTTTACATCTCACTCAAAGAAACGTCCCAACAACATCATTATGGGTAAGTTTTGCTTCTATCATATCTGTGTTACACGGTCAGCTGTAGGGCGTTTGTTCAGTCATCACATTTTGGATATGTTCGAATTTGGAATTGAAGATTTCGCGTCAATTGCTTCATTTAAGGTAAATGATTTTCAAATAATCTGCTTTAAACTACCATGTAACAAATATGTAAACAGTTGGGAAAGCGAACCTGCGTTAAATGAGAAATTTAACCTATGCCACTACAGCAGATTTTCCCTAATATATATCTGTTGTCAAGTTGATTTTGTAGAGAATGGCAGTGAATTTATTGCTCTCACAGAAATGAGTTGTGCAGTGAGGGATTCCCGCTCACATCTTACCAGTTAGCTGGGAACAAAAAATCTGTGGTTCCAGCGGTCAAAACTACAATGGGTAAGTTTCTCGTTGCATCGTGCAACGTTCGTTCCTTGTCTGGCGAAAGTAAGTTACATTATGTCTGCTGCACGGCCCGTTGGTACAAGTTTAATGTACTGACGGTAATGGCAGCTCGCCTCCCGGGTAAAGGGACGCTTGGTCTGTAAGATAGGTGGCCATTTTGGAGGTTAAAGCACGGTAGTGTGCGCCATGCCGGCGTTGGTATCCTCTTCTTCTCTGGTGTAATTCTGGTGGTAATATCGATGAAGAAAGTGTCGGAGAGAATCCTGGTTTATCGCCTGAATGTCAAATAGGCGGCAGTTAATGTCACTGTCATCTGTGCCCAGACAAATGCATGAAGTGTGACAAAAACGCTTTCTGTAATTGCTTGCATTCGGTCGTTAATGCTTTGTTCCATCATAACGTCACAATTGCCCTGGACGTTCCCAAGTAGAAGGTTAAATACCCATTTAGATCACCTCCTCATCAAGAAATAATGACGCACACAGCTCATTACTCAAATCGGGCCTGGCTCTTGCATTGTTTCTGATCACCGTATGGCCGTAGCGGAACTTCGTCTAAAATTAGCCGTGTCGTATCGTCGCCATCTGATTAAACACTTCAGCAGTTCCATGTCAGCAAGCTAAAATATTGCGAAATGGCGCGGACAACCTACCGAAAGGAAGTAAAGAATTATTTTGATGCCAAACCCTATTCCTTAGAGTGCAGTGGAGTCAGGCAAAAGGGAGTTCCTGCAACACCCTCCTGCACCATCGAAGGCAGCATCACCTCCTGGTTTGGTTAGTCATCTAGAGGTACAAGTAAGACCGGGAACTTTGGTTAGATGTGAAAATTGGGTAGATCGACAAGGGAACCAGAAAGGATGAGTGGCGAGCAGTGTTCAGATAGGAACGGCATTTGTCCGGTAAGCAGGGAATTCGACCTGACCTTCTCCAAGACTCTGAAGGTGTCCCATTGGTAGATCAGAAGAAACGCCCCAAAAGGTGGTTTGAGCATTTCCAGCAGCTGCTCAGTTCGCGCCAGCCCAAAGTAGTCCGTTCTTCCATTCGGCTTTCCAGTTTGAAGTTGTCCGTCAAATTCGTAGTCTCTGAATATTCTCTGCAACACTAGAGGTTAGTACTGGTCCATTCACAAAGCTAGAAATTCATAAAGTTCCATTTCAGAGTAAAAAAGACTTGCGGGTTGGATCGAATTTCTCCGCAGTTAATTATCGAGGAATGTAAATGGTAGAAAAGCTGCATGCCATGCTTCATCAGATGTTGACCTACAGGCATTTCTCGATTGAACAGAAGCGTGTGTGGGCGAGGAGGGGGGGTTAGGGGTAGTTTTCGCTGTTTAAAGTGGTTCGACTTGTCATGTGTTCCAGTTATTGTAGTATCACGCTGTTATCAACTCCAGAGCAACTTTTTTGCCTGGATTATCTTGGTAAGGTCGAGGTATGCAGTTGATAGGAGACTTCGCTCAAATCAAACAGGCTGCCGGATGGAGTATCCTGTTGTGACCAAATTTTCGCTTTGCGTAGGATGTTTTAGCAATGCCGACGATTCGAGTTGCCTTGGTTTGCCATTCGTGAAATGCTATAGGTTACCTCATTACGTCATTTTTAATTTGGAGGATGAACATTTCAGCTGTCAGAGTTGGAGGTTATTCGTGTGGTTCCCTTTTAATGATCGAAATCGCAAGAAAGAGGTGATTTCGCCTTTGCTTTTCAACATTATGTTCGATTTCTTCCCTGAACCATTGCTGAACCTGGGAAGGACGATGATCTCATTCTGGAAAGAATTCACAAGTCAAGATTTCCTCTCTAGATACCTTACTGACCTGGAGTAAATATATGATGTCGTCCTGGTGAGTAATGCATGATGCGTGTCCTGTCACTTGACGCCTTCTGTATGCAACGCAGCGGTCGGGAGATACGGGAACCAATCTCGCAAAGCTAGTTTACAAGTGGAAAAGAAGGTACAGTCCTTCAGAAGGTTGAAAAGTTTAACTATCTCTGCTGCGTTATTTTTAATGATGGCACTATCCAACCTGATTTAAATGGAGGAGTCGTTCTATCCTCGATTGATTTCGGAAACCTGTCCAATATTGGTGCTGAGAACGTGGTTGCTCTTTGGATGAAAATCCAACTGTACCTTGCCTTTGTCACGTCGGTGCTGTTGTACGGCATAAAGGCAGCTGTTCATATCTCCAACATTGATGCATTCATCTCCGTGGCTTCGCTTGACAATTTTATCCATGTATAACAGAAGTGTGAGAGGGACAGAAAGAAACATTTGCGGAGACCATTGCTGAGAGGTCTCGACATAACGCCATTTGGCCTAGCGCAGCAGTCATTATATAAACGTATAGTGACTGCATGGCTGATAGTAACTATCCGTCGATCTATGTTTGCAAGCACGGCCATCGCTTGTTTTGCAGAATTTAGTCACAGGCTTTCTCCAAGTGCTCAAGGTGCATGTAAACTGGCTGAGCGAACTCTGATTTCTCAACTGTCTGGCGTAAGGTGAAGATTTGGTAAAAGGTGTTTCGGCTTGACTTGAAACCAGAGTGTTCTTGTATGTTAGAGTCAGTTATTCCGCGGAACCTTCCTTTTATTATCTTTGCATACACTTTTCCCGGGAAACTCAGTCAGGTTATGCTTTGATAAATGGTGCACTCCCTGTTGTCTCCCTTCTTGAAGATTGCTACTACAACCAGCATCCTCGAGTACACATTTGTCTTCCCCGTCGCCATCTTACTGTCACGGACTAATATTCATTACACATGCCTAGTTCGCGTAAAGCTTTAAGTATTTCAGAACATATTTCATTGATTCCAACAACCTTGCTACTTATTTGATTTAATCTCTGACTCAGTAGATTGTTCTGTATAAGTGTTCATGAAAGACTTATTTGATTAGCGATACTTCATTTTTTCCAGCTGCACATTTCTGTCGTTAATTTCCGGTTGTTTCATTCTGTACACCAAGTTTCGACTTGTAATACTAACTATGGTCGTTCTTTGCTCCAGACTAAATGACTTGTTTTACGACTTGACCCTTAACTGTTTTTAGAATTGCCTTATTCCGGTCGGTTTTAAACCATGTTTATCTTTCATGGGATTAGAGTTTCAACAAGACCCAGTCTATCAGCGGCTGAAAAATCTGTTAACAGGCAGGTGTTAGCGTTACTTCGTTGTTGCGATAAATATTTATCAACTAACTTTCCTGTCCTTTTAGACCTGTTTCGAGGACCATCAGTGAAGACCGTCAGACTTCAGGGAATCGAGTATTTGTTATCGTTTTCAGTGGTTGATGGCAAGGTGAAAGTTCGATCTTACCGGTACCTTTAATTTCATATTTTCATCGCGTTTTTAATAATTTTATGCTTTCTTTTAAACTTCCTTGAATCATAATAGGCAAAATAAATAGTTCGAAAAATCGAACGGTCGGTTAAAAAATGAAGTGACGCTTACCTTTGTAAACTTCCTGTTGTTAGCATGTCATTTAACTGGCGTTGAAATGCCGCTATCAAGCTGGTGTGGTAGATAAATTTTAGTTTGAACGCTTACTCAGTTTTAGCCGAGGTGTAACAATATATATTTTTATTAGTACAGTAAGTTTTGCAGTTGGGATGGACTGCACAAACAGTAAATGTCACACAAAGCCTCAATTTTAGTATTCATAGTAGTAGCATTAATAAAGATACTTAGTTAAAGTACTACCATTTCTACTGTGCGCATGCTGATGTTGTGTCTGCAATAGTAGTAGTTTCAGTCGTGTTTCAATAACATCAGTTTTCCAAAAAACGTTAATTTTACTGCTCGATAACAGCAGTTTTAGTAAATATTGTTAGAGATACTTCTGTTACCGAGCAACTAAATTGTCTTATCGTGATACCAGTAGTATACCATTCAATGACAGTAGTACTGGTGATCTTAACAGGGTTACTGCTAAAATTAATGTTACTGATATTGCTTATAGTAGTCATTTTTAAATGACGTGATAGTAGTACTATTAGTAGTATCAGCAATACTTGTACCGATACTGTTGATTTGAATATTAGTTACCAAAAATACTAATATGAATATTATTACTAATACCACTGTTCTTTTTTCTACATTATTAGCAACAGTACAGTACTAATCTTGTAGACTAGTAAAGCTAGTGTTATTAATAACATTGGTAGTGTGAATATTAGTGTTATCAGTGAAATGTGAGTTCTGTAAATGTCATAATTTAAGTCTTACAGTTAT